TTGGAATTGTTGATTCTTTGTATTGTTTTCTTTGTTTCAATTTCATTGATTTCTGCCCTGATTTTTATTTCTTCTTGTCTGCAGGGTGATTATATTTCTTGTCATAAAGACAAACTCTTCCCTTTTATCCTTCCCTTTCCCTTTTTTCTTCCCTTCCGCATTCTTGAATGTTTCAGTACTCTAGACATTAAGTAGGCAGAGCAGGGTGAGAGTCCACAGAGGCATGGGCCAGTGTGAGATGTCTGAGCCCCAGCAGGGTGAAGGAAACATTCATGGAGAAAGCATTCTAGCACACTTAGGAACTTGTTCTGAGCAGAGTAAGAGGGGAGCTGCATTTAGGGAGCCCCTTTAGGGATGTCAGAGCTTAAAGAGGGTGAAGAGAAGGGTTATTTGGGGATAAAAGCTCAGCATGGCCTGATGCCAAGTCAGATGAGAAAGATACCTGTGTGGGTAGCCCAGCATGGTATATGTAAACCCAGATAAAATAAGGAGGATATCCACAGGGAGGTTGACCTAGTGTTTGATAGGAGCGCAAGTTGGAGAAAGGGATCATGCAGAGTAAAGGGTAATATCCGTGAGAGAAAAGTGGTCACATACACCAAGAAATTGATAAAATAAGTACATAAGTCAGAAAAGGAGTTACAGATACATGAAAGATAATAGAATTGATCCTGTGTGTTGAAATGGAATTAAAAGTGTTAGTGTGTGGGGCTGGAGAGATGGCTCACTTGTTAAGGGCACTTACTGCTCTTTCAGAGGACCTGAGTTCAAGTCCCACCACCCATGTGGCTGCTTACAACCACTTGCAACTCCATTTCCAGGGTATCTGATGCCCTCTGGCCTCCAAGGGCATCTGAACACATGTGGTTTTATTATTTTTATTTTATGTGTATGAGTGTATTGCCTGCATGTAAGTGCACCGGTATCCTGCAATGCCCACGAAAGTCAGGAGAGGGCTGGGAAAGCTCAGCTGGGGTTTCCCACTAGGTGCGTCCCCAGATGTAGTCTTAACAAGTCAGGATCTGTTTATGCTGTTAGCAGCATCACCTGAGAACACAGCTGAAATTTCCACTCCTATCACACTTCCAGAAGAACAAAACAAACAAATTAACTCTGCCAAATTTGACCTCAAGAGAGAAGAGCACGAAAAGATTTTCCCAAACCTTTACTTGGATATTTTTCTATGAATTTATCCATCTCATTCAAATTTTAGCTTTATTTTCATAAAATTACTCATGGTGCCTACTGTCTTTAGGTTTTCGTTTTTTCATAAAATATGCACCCAGATACGTAACCATACATATATCCACATGACCCCCTTTGATAGCTCATTACTGTCCATTGCTAGAAACTCTCTCCTCTTCCCTTGTCATATACTTACTGTTGACTATTGCTAAGTGTACCAGGATGCTTCGGGCTTCCTTCAGCATGAAGTCTTAATGTTTCTACCATTGGTACTACCAACAACTTGGAACCTTCATAATCCAGGTTTAAAGCCCTGAACTGCCTGTGTGATTGCACAAGGGCTGGTTCCTGAGGGTGTGGCTCCTTGAGTCCCCACCTTATGTGTTGGGGAAGTGGTGATGTCTTATTTGATTCCTACCTTTGTACTAGTTCTGGGTATTGATTTGCTCCCTACATCATTTCATGGCTTCCAAATGCAACGTTCAAAATTGCTGAATTGGAAAATGAGTGCAGTGTCAGGACTGTGATGCCCAGAGCTGCAGGGGTCCTCGGGGCATCTACTAGTATCTTCCACAAAGAGGCATAAGTATAATGAGTGCTTCCTGCATCTGGGTGAATAAGAACACCAAGTGCCCAACCCCTACCTACTTTGACAATCCCAAGACCACTATTTTCATTTCATTTTGGCCTGTTGTTTCCTTACTGTCCTCTCAGTCCTCCCGAGCACTGAGAGGGTAGAAACAATTTTGGTTCTTTGCAATCTTTGATTTGATCTGAATAATCCATCCCACTATCACTAGAAATCAGATTTTTGTTTTCTTTTGAGGATGAAACCTAGAGCCTTGTATGTGCTGGGTAAGCAAGTGCCCTACTAACTGCATTCTTAGCCCCACAATCTGGGGTTTCCTTTTCTCTTTAGACTAAGCTCTTGAAGTGGCTGGCTGCAACTGTGAAGTCCATCAGACATGTACTTTCTTACAGTACTGTTTTCTTCTTTTTCAGTTTCTGGACGAAAATGCTGATCCTTCTGCCTTTGAAATTCAGGAAGAGTTAGAACAGTACACAAGCAAAATTCTGCATAACAACCTCCTGGGGTCCCAAGGTGCACATGTGAGTTACTGCCATCTCTCTCTGATACTCTGCTTTTAGCATGATTACCACAGTTCCTGTATGCTGTCATCCGGGTGTATTTCTGGCTTCCCAGGGTAGACTTAGGTTTCAGTCCCAGCTCTGCCTTATATGAACCCTATGACTTTGCAAATTCCTAAAATGACATGAGTGTTCATTTCCTCATCTTTAATGGCTGTCAGCAGGACTGATATAGGGATCGGGTGAAATTAGTGTTAAGCACAGCATCCTACAGGCACCCACTTAGAGAATGATGTCCATTTTTTTTTTTCTGTTTTTTTCCAATACTCTAATCCACTGCTGCTTTATCCTTAGCAACACCTCTGACAGTATTCACTTATCCAGTGAATGAATGAGGTAAATGATCAACCACAGCACTGACCTTGAAATCAAATTCACTTCATGCCCGGATGTCATACTGCTTAATTGGTCTGGAGTAGGGCCCCAGTTGGGTTCAAAAGCTCTTGGGTGTTACTTGTTTGTAGCCAGGAAAACTGCTGTGGGTGTACCTTCCTCAGAAAACGGAGCCATCTCAGGGAGGGTGCCCGCTATACCCAGTGAGGTTTGTTTTAAAAACTAATCACGTATTCCAAGCCCCTAAGGCATTTGTGATCTCTTGTTAGTCATAGCTTTCTGAGGTGGTTATATTCTTAATCTGATATTATAAATGAGAATCTTTATAAACAGTCAAGATTTTATTGGTTAGAAAGACAACATTACAGCCAAAGATAGCAATGACACTAAAGAAATTTTAATACGGAAACACATTTTTCCCAAGAGTTGCTTTGGTGCAGTTTGAAGAGTTCACATTAGGGCTGAAGAGATGGTTTAGTGATTAAGAGCACTTACTGTGCTTGCAGAGGACCTGAGTTTTGATCCCAGCACCCATGTTAGGTGGCTGAGAACTACCTGTAACTCTTAATTCTAGAGGTATCTGGTGCCTCTGGCTTCCATGGGTAGCTGTACTCATATGCACAATCCCCCCCACCCCCACCACACACACACACACACACACACACACAGAGACAAATACACATATACATAAATTTTTAGTTGAAAAAAACCAAGTGTTCACATTAACTTCTTTTTCTTAGCTATATTCTTGAAAAACCTAGTCATGAAAAATTTGGCAGTGAGCTCCTTGGTTTTCTAGCAGTGTTAATCAAGCCTGTAGTGAGCAGTGAATCAATCCATCCTGGCAAGTCCTTGGGAGCTTGAAGAGCTTAGATAGGTCCTCCTGCTCAGAGTGGGGTTCTCCTTAACTCTAGCTCTGCATAGTCTCCTCTGCTAGCACTGCTGGCACCGGTGTTTCTGCTGTGTTTACTCCAGTTCCTCAGGTGCTGTATATGCCTTGGCTCATTTCACCCACTCAACCCATCATCAGCTGCAAATTCTTGCCCAGTTCTACCAAGGCTGAGTAATTTGTGTTTATCTGCTACAGCTGATGATTCAGACGTCTGTATTAGGATACTGATCAGATGTGAATTTTTTAAAAAAATATTTATTATTTTTATTTTATGTGTATGAGTGTATTGCCTGCATGTATGTGGATGCACCCGTGTTATGAAATGTCGTGGAGCTCAGAAGAGGGTTTTGGATTCCCCTGGAACTGGAGTTAAGGACAGTTCGGAGCTGCCATGTGGGTGCTGGGAATCGAACCTGGGTCCTCTGCAAGAGCAGTCAGTGCTCTTAACTGCTGAGCCATCTCTCCAGCCCAGATGTGAATTTTTAATTATAATCAGTACTTCTTCAAATGTATCCTCAAATGTGATATTTGCTTTTTCCAGTGGGGGAAATGTCCTTCTTTACAAAGTTCCATCAAATTTAGGAGTCAAATCTGTTTGCTTCTAGCGAGTAAGACCTCTTGGGCAGTTTTTATGGATAGATTATAAATGAAAACAAATTCTTCAGGAGCATTTTGGTAACTAAACTGAGAATCCAGAAGTTGAATGAGTGACTGGTACTGCCCCATATGGAGAAGATCAGTGTTTTGATGACAGATCTTCACACCATTTCCATCTACTGGGCTTCCTCAAAGTCAGAAATATCCTCTGTGCTGGCAATAGAAGGTAGTTGGCAATTTCAAGATGATCTATATCCAGATCCCAAAGCACACTTGAAGAACCTCATTTCTGGGGCTGGAGATGGACAGATGGCTCAGCCATTAAGAGCACTGGCTGTTCTTGCAGAGGACCTGGTTTGGTTCCCAGCACTCGCCTGGCAGCTGTCTTTAACTCTAGTTCTAGGGGATCTGATGCCCTCTTCCGACTTCTGTGGGCATTTCAGTATATGGGTGCACTTACATACATGCAAGCAAAACAATCATACAAAATAATAAAAAACGAATCCCACTTCCTTGTCTTTCTTGATAATATGATGTTTGATCATCTTTACTATGACCAAGCAGATGGCTACATTAGAGGGTATTTTATGGGAAATTTTTGTTTAAATAAGGATGATTTCACCCAGTTAAGATAAAAAGTAAAAAACTTTAAAATCCAGATCAAATTGAATTTTCTTCAGTATGGCACTCCAGTGCCAATCATGGTAGTGCACACCTACATTCCCATTATTTGAGAAACTGAAGCAGGAAGATCAGGAATTTGAGGGCTTTATAGTCTGGCCTACAAAGTGAGACCTTATCTGAGAAAAAAAGTTATGCAATGTCTGACTTTTTTAAACAGGTGAAAAATGTATGTGAGAGCAGGAGCAAGCTCATTGCTTCCTTCTGGAAAGCTCATATGACTGCTAAGCGATGTCCCCACTGCAAGTGAGTATTGGCTGCCTGCCTTTCCCTTCCTTAGGTATGTTGGCTTTGGCTGATCATTCAGTACCATTATTAAATGTCTCATTGGAGCTTGTTTCTCTCTACAACTGGAGTATAGGACTGGAAGGTCCATCGTCCGGAAGGAACACAACAGTAAGCTAACAATCACATATCCAGCTGTGGTGCACAGGAAATCTAGCCAAAAGGATGCAGAGCCCCCAGGTAAGCAGGCTAGGTTAGGAGGTACTGTGGTCATGTTTCATCCAACTTAGGTGTGAAGGAAATACTAGGGAGGACCCAACCCAGGCCTGTCACTCTGGGAGGGGCAGGTGGCAGGTGCCACGATATGTGGTAGTGCCCTGTTGGTCCCTGTTGTCTTAAAAGTTGTTTTTGTTTTTTGGTTTTGTTTTTTATTGGGGATGAAATGTGTTTTGAGACAAGATCTTGCTATCAATCTACAAGATCTTGACATCAATCTGCCTGCCTCAGCCTCCCTAATGCTAAGAGTATGGGTGTGAATCACCACACCTACTCAAATGGTTGTTTCTTTGAAAGTTTTTTGGTTTTTTTTTTTTTTTTTTTTTTTTTTTTTTTTATTTTTTTTTTTTTTTTTTTTTTTTTCTTTTTGAGACAGTGTCTCACTATATAGCCCTGGCTGGCCTGGAACTCACTGTGTGGACTGATAGAATGTGTGAATTGCAGGAGAGCCATAAGGCTCATTAGGGAAGCCATAAAACCATTAATTTCTTAAAATGGCTAACTGGCCCTAAATTGGGAGGTTGGCCTTGCTTAGGCCTTATCAACTGGTCACTCCCAGGACTGAAGAAGACTGTTTATGGAGCCAACCTGTCTCCTTTAGTGCTCTAGATAGGTCATCTGCCTGAGAAAATAATCTTGGGAGGAAGACCTTCAATCACCCAGTGACACCAGACCCTGGCACAGATTAAACCTCTGCAGTTTATTCCTATATAACCCCACCACCACTACCACCACCACTTCATTAGATGCAGACATCTTCATCCCTCAAAAAGGCTTCTGCCCTTCACTGTGATACCTGAATAAAGGACACATTCCTTGCCTGTTACAAGTCTGGTTCTGGTTCTTTCTAAACTCTAAACATCAGCCTTTTCTCCTCTCCTGAAATCTTAACATAGACCAGGCTGATCTCTAACTCAAGGGTTCTCCTGCCTGATCCTCCCAAGTGCTAGGACTAAAGATGTGCACCACCACACCCAGCAGTAAGCATTTAATTTTTTTCTTTTTTGGTGGTAGTGCTGGGGATTGAACCAGAGGCCTCCCAAATGCTAGGCAGGCATTCTGCCACTGGACTACTCCTCAGCCCTCTTTGAAAGATTTATTTTTGTTGTTTTTTGAGACAGTGTCTCATGTAGTATAAGCCGGCCTTGACCTTAACTCCTGATCCTTCTGAAGTGCTAGGATTGCAGGCATATGCTGCCACATCCAGCTATTGAAATATTTTTGAAGAAGACATTAGTTTTTGCTTGGCAAAAATGTTTCATTTTACAGCAAATGTGGATTTATTTTTGAATAAAATGCAGGTGAATTCATAAAACCTGAGCACCCCCTACAAGTTGCTCTGCCCTTGGGTTCTTGAAGAAAAAAATTGAGACTAAGAACCCTCACTTTTAATTTTTTGTAGTACTAAGATTGTTTAAATATTTTAAATTCTGAAGTGAGGATTAAAAGGCATTTGTGTGAAGTACTGAGACTCTTGCCTGTTATGCTGTATGTTCAATAGAGTTGACTCCTCATTTTTTGTCATAATCCGCATACTAGGTCAGAAAAATACTTGCTATGGACAGTTGGCTCTTGCTGTTGTATGCCATGAGAGCTTCTATTTCTGACTTTGTATAGTGGCAATAGCAGACACTTTTACCTGTAGCTGAGGAAATTGTATCCTCCAAAGTACTGTCCATAACATAATTAAATGTAGAATGGGTAAGGAAGTATATCCATGTATACCCTCTTGAACCCTTACCTATCCACCCCTGGGATGCATGCTGTATCTTTTACCTTGAGGACTCTGACAAGGGATGGTGTAAATAACAAACCTGTTTACTGTTTTCGTATAAGCCTTTTATTTTAGAATAATTTCAGACTTACAAAGTAACAAACATAGTGAGTTCCCATAAACTATTCAGTCAGTGTCTGAATGTAACATTTTAGATTCGCCTAAGCATTTCATTCATCAGACCTAAGAACTTATTATAACACTTTTTTTTGAGACAGGTCTCCTTAGGTTTCCTAGAACATGCTAATAGATTGAAAAGAAAAGATGGTCAGAATTCTAGAAAATAACTGCTTCTTTGGGGCAGATGTCCAGTGATAAGTAGCCTTTTAATGTCTTTGCCAAACACATTCATATGAGGTAATCTTTTCTTGTAATCACAAGAATAAGTTGCAGCCAGAAGTCTGAGCATTAGAAATAAGTAGCTAATAGTCTTTGTCAGCTCCAGGATTGAGCTCTTGCTTAACCCAGCATTTGCTGGGTTGGAGAGATAGCTCAACTGGTAAAGGTGTCTGACACTAAGTTGAAGACCTGAGTTCAATCCCCAGGACCCACATGGTGGAAGGAAAGAACCAACTCCTGAAAGTTGTCCTGTCACCTCCACATGTGCACATATATATGAGTCAATCAGTGTAGTAAAAAAAAAATTTTTTTTTTTTTTGGCTCTTTGAGAGGGATTAAAGGTGTGTGCCACCACACCCAGATAGTAAAAAAATTTTAATTAAAAGATGCTGGATGTGGTGGTACACACCTTTAATCCCAGCACTCAGGAGGCAGAGTCAGGCAGAGAGAGCTCTGTGAGTTCAAGGCCAGCCTGTGAGTTCCAGGCCAGCTGGGGCTTTAAGATAGGATATAAAGATAGGCTTTTTTGAGACCCTATCTCAAAAAGACCAAAAAAATAAATTTTTTTTAAATTAAAAGTACAAAAATGGCAAAGAAGTGCTTTTTGTGTGTGTGAATAGATTGTTTTAGAATATTTTGAACATAGTGTGTCAGCCAGTGACTATCGTCTGCTGTGTGCTAGACACTCTACCAATTGTTAGGAACACAGACACAGCATGGTTCCTTCCCTGAAAAATCCAGAAAAGGGCAAATTGAGCAATGCTTCCTTTCAGTTACTGCATTCCAGGAAAGGTTGATAAATTTGAACCTGCCAGATACTTAATTATCTTTGTTGTTCCTCTGAGGGACAGAAGCCGCACTCTTGAATGGCCACCTCAAATCTCATTTTCTACTTAATCTGGGCTTAGCAAGTAGTCAGGATTTCAGAGGATTTCAGAGGATCTTGCTTAGTTGAGAAATCAAGCTTACCTACTGGTATAATATTGGTTAAAAAAAAATTAGTACATATTTTTGAAGTTTATTCTTTTTAAATTATGTATATATGCTTGTGTGTCTGAGGTCAGAAGAGGGTGTCACAGTCCTTGGAGCTTTAGTTACAGGTGGTGGTGAGCATCCTGAAGTGGGTGTTGGGAACCAAACTCAGGTTCATGTTCTTAACCGCTGAGCCATTTCTCCAGCCTGGAATTAGTATATTTTAATCCATTAAAATCTCCTGGGGACTGGCTGTTAGATTCAGGAGAGGAGAAAAGAATGAAATTTAGAGTTTAGAAATAAGAGCCAGAGCCAGACCTGCAACAGTCAAGAAATGTGTCTTTATTCAAAATGTGTCTTTATGCAGATATCACAGTGAAGGGCAGAAGCCTTTCTGAGGGAAGAAGGCATCTGCATCTAATGAAGGGGGTTTTGGGTTTATATAGGAATTCTACCTAACACAGCTGTAGGAATTTACTTGGTGCCAGGGTCTGGTGTCCTGGGGTGATTGAAGGTCTCCTCCCAAGATTATTTTCTCAGTCAGGGCAGGCGAGCTATCTAGGGCACTAAAAGAGACAGATTGGCTTCATAAACAGTCTTCCTCAGTCCTCTGAGTGACCAGTTGATAAGGCTTGAGCAAGGCCAATTTAGAGTCATTGGCCACTTGATGGCATTTATGGTTTTATGGCTTCCCTAATGAGATTTATGACTCTTATGCAATTCACACATTCTCCATTACTGGTAAAATGTCTCATCAGGTAAAAAAAAGTACCTGCCACACAAACCTGATAATCTGAATTCAGTCCACAGAACCCATGGTGGAAGGAGAGAACCAACTTCTGAAAGTTTCCTCTGACCTCCATACAAGTGCTCTAGCACAAGTACTCCATACTCATAAACAGATTGAAAACAGAAAACATTTCACACAGTTTTATCTATACTTCTGCTCTGAACTTTTCTGGTTCACATGTGCAAAAAGGTAATGCTGCTTGTTTTCTTGCAGCGCTGGGGATTAAACCCAGGACCTCATACATACGAGGCATGTGGTCTACCAGTAAGCTATGTCCCCAGCCCAATAATACTTACTTATAAAAGCAAAAAATTGGAATCAATCTGATGTATAAATGTATAAATATGAGAGTGTGGTTAGGAAATTAGGAAACTTCATCAGTCTAGTGTAATGCAGTCAATAAAAATGGTGGTTGAAACTGGGCATGGTGGCCCAAGCCTTTAATTCCGCAATTTCAAGGCATAGGCAGGCAGATCCTTTGTGAATTGGAGGCTAGCCTGGTCTACATAGGGTCCGTATACAGCCAGTGCTACATAGTGAAATCTTGAAATAAAACAAAACAAAAGGTGGTTAGGGCTGATGAGCATTGTGGCACATGCTTCAAATCCCAGCACTTAGGAATAGAAACATGAGGATCGGGAGTTCAAAGCTAGCCTGGACTGCATCAGGCCATCTCTAAATAAATAGATAGATGATAGATAGATAGATAGGTAGATAGATAGATAGATAGATAGATAGATAAAATAATAAATGGTGGTGGTGGTGATGGTTAGGCAAAAGCTATATAGCAATGTGCAGAAATGTTAATGTGTTCCTGTAATACCAAATACACAGAGTGTTGTTGAAAATAAATTCGCACAAGATTTTTTTTTTTTTTTTTTGAGGTAA